TCTAAAAAAATGTCCTACAGGTTTATGGCCTTGATATAAATCCAAGAGCAGTGAAGATTTCGTGGATAAACTTGTATTTAAATGCTTTCGATGAGAATGGAGAGCCGATTTATGACCACGAGAAGAAAACTTTGCTTGACAGAGTGGAGTTTTATGAATCTGATCTGCTATCTTACTGCAGAGATAATCACATAGAGCTTGAGCGAATTGTTGGATGTATACCACAGGTCTGGTTATGAAATCAGCTACTCTTGTTTTTCATCTTGCGCATACAGTTAGGGATCAATACAAGATTATGTTTTCAATTCTCTTCATTGTCTTGTAGATTCTCAATCCAAATCCCGATGCAATGTCCAAGCTTATCACAGAAAACGCAAGTGAAGAGTTTCTATATTCATTAAGTAACTACTGTGCACTACAGGGTTTTGTTGAGGATCAATTTGGGTTAGGTCTAATTGCTAGGGCAGTTGAAGAAGGAATTGAAGTGATGAAACCAATGGGAATCATGATTTTCAATATTGGAGGTCGACCAGGGCAGGCTGTTTGTAAAAGGTTATTTCAAAGGCGTGGTCTCATTGTGGCACAGCTATGGCAGACTAAAATTCTTCAGGCTTCTGACACTGACATTTCGGCTTTAGTTGAAATTGAGAAGAATAATCCACATCGTTTTGAGTTTTTCATGGGACTTGTTGGGGATCAACCAATTTGTGCTAGAACTGCATGGGCTTTTGGGAAGGCTGGTGGACGTATTTCTCATGCTTTGTCAGTTTACAGCTGTCAGCTTCGACAACCGAATCAGGTCCTCTTTAATTTATAGAAGCTAAATGCAAGAAATAAAAGCACAAAGAACACTACTCCTTAAAATTGATTGAATACTAAACCAACTAAACTGACAGGTTAAAAAAATATTCGAGTTTCTGAAAAATGGGTTTCAAGATATCAGCAATTCCTTGGATTTATCATTTGAAGACGATTCTGTTGCTGATGAGAAGATACCTTTCCTAGCATATCTTGCTAGTGTTTTGAAAGACGATTCACACTTCCCATATGAGCCTCCATCTGGAAGTAAAAGGTTCCGGAATCTTATTGCAGGCTTCATGAAAACATACCACCATGTACCAATCACCGCTGATGTAAGAAGTCTTCCTTCCCTTTTTAAAAAGAGTAAAATAAAATGCTATTTTCCTTTTTTACATCTTTTTGTGAGAAATAACTTGCATTCCTGACTTGTTTATTGTTAACCTTGTTGCAAGAATGTTGTTGTGTTTCCTTCACGAGCTACAGCAATTGAGAATGCTCTGCAATTGTTTACCCCACGTCTTGCCATTGTTGATGATCATCTTAGCAGACACCTACCCAGGCAATGGTTAACCTCACTTCAGATGGAGGTATAAATATAGTAATAACTTTTAAACATTTACTTCAATATATAATAACAATTTGGGATTAAAAATTTCATCCTGATTTAAATTTCAGCATAACGAGAATGATAATTCGTCTGCAAGTGCAATTACAGTTATAGAAGCACCACGCCAATCAGATTTAATGATAGAGCTGATAAAGAAGTTAAGGCCACAAGTTGTGGTTACTGGGATGGCTGACTTTGAGGCTGTTACTAGTTCTGCTTTTGAGCATATTTTAATGACTACAATGGAAATTGGAGCTCGTCTTTTTATAGATATATCTGATCAGTTTGAGCTTTCCAGTCTCCCCAGTTCTAATGGGGTCCTCAAATATCTTGCTAGAACTCCATTGCCTTCTCATGCAGCTATTATCTGTGGATTATTGAAAAATCAGGTAATTTGCAGTCTCTGTTTTTGGCTTATTCTGTTGTAATGTACATGTACTGAAATTCTTTTTCCAGGTTTATAAAGATCTTGAAGTAGCTTTTGTGATATCAGAAGAGCCAACCATTTGTAAGGCATTGTCTAAGAGTGTGGAACTACTACAGGGAAATACTGCACTAATTAGCCAATACTATTATGGTTGTCTTTTCAATGAACTTCTTTCATTCCAGCTTCCTGATCGACATCCACCTGCAGAGGTTACTTCTTTCACTTAATTATGTCTTGTATGTAAAGCTAAAAGCTCTTTTAGACATTTCTACATATATCTAGATTTGACTCCTATTATGATTTTTTATTTTTTTAGAGAGAATCCAATGATGCAGAATCCAGTGAAATGATCGGCTTTTCAACCTCAGCAATCTCGGTTCTTACCAACTCGGAATTCTCAATAACAGACACCGAAAAGTCTCCCTTGATCCACATGGACGTGGACCAAATCTTTCTCCCCACTCCAACTCCCGTAAAATCCGCCATTTTCGAAAGCTTCGCAAGACAAAACGTAACAGAATCCGAATGCGACACAACACCCAGCCTCAAAAATTTCATCAAAACCACATACGGTTTTTCCACCAATCACAATTCAGAATTCATATACGCAGACTGCCCACAAGCCATTTTCACCAAATTAGTCCTTACATGCATTCAAGAAAACGCCACTCTCTGTTTGCCAACGGGATCAAACGGGAATTACATTTCTGTTGCCAAATTCCTAAACGCAAAAATCATGCCAGTTGTCACCAAACTCGAAAACCATTTCAAAATGACCCAAGATCTACTCAGTGGTGTATTGGAAAACGTGAGTAAACCATGGGTTTATATTGCGGGGCCCACGGTAAACCCGACCGGTTTGATCTACAGCAATGATGAAATCGGAAATTTGCTGACTGTTTGTGCGAAATACGGGGCCCGGGTTATAATTGATACTTCGTTTTCTGGGGTGGAGTTTGAACAGAATTATGGGTTGAAAGAGTGGGATTTGGATGGGAGTTTGGTGAAATTGATTTCGGGAAAACCGAGTTTTAATGTGTGTTTGCTTGGAGGGTTGTTTTTTAAGATGGTTAGTGGAGGGATTACGTTTGGGTTTTTGGTTGTAGATCGGAGGTTTTGGGGTGATGGGATTTATAAATTTTCAGGGTTGAGTAAACCGCATAGTACTGTTAGATATACTGCAAAAAAATTGCTGGATCTTAGAGAGCAGAAAGCGGGTGATCTTTTGGATGCTACTCAAGGACAGTGGAAGTTGCTGTCTGGAAGATTTAAACAGCTGAAAGAGGTAACATTTTACTTTGAAAGTTATACTTCAAATTTGTTAGCTCTCACTCTTTCTTCTTTGTTATGTATGATGGTTAGACACTGGAGGGGTGTGGTTGGGAGGTAGTTGAAGCTTGTGGTGGGGTTTCCATAGTTGCAAAGCCATCTGCTTACATAGGAAAAAAATTGGAGCTGAATCAACACAATTCTTCTTGCTCTTGGAAAGCCGTTTTGAATGACTCGAATATCAGAGAAGCAATGGTTAGAGCCACTGGTCTTTGCATCAATGGTCCTTCATGGACTGGAATCCCGGGCTATTTTCGGTTCACGTTAGCACTACAAGACTCCGATTTTACTCGGGCTTTAGAATGCATCAACAAGTTCAATGAACTTGTCAAGTAAGTGAAGAAATCGTTTCAAAGTGTTTTTTTACTACTTTCATGTTATATATTCTACTTTGCTAACAAATCACTTGTAATATTTTGTTGTTTTTTTTTTTACAAGTTTTATCACCATTGGAGCCCTTATTCCTTTCTTTGTTTTAGTTTTTAACTTTTATAGATCAATGGCGGCGGCAGCCATTATGTGGGAACACAAACGTGACTGGGGGTGGGGTTTTACAAGTCAAGTTGGAAAAATAATTTGTGTATTTTGGACGGAAACTGGAAATTCATTTTATAATATTATCCACTTGTCATGGATTACGATTAATTTTCTCTAAATATAATCTTTTTATAATTTAAATGTATATATATTGACTATGTGGTGCTAAAGATGGATCTCGTTCACATATTAGGCACCATACCTATCCAAAGAAAAATATATCCGCAAAACAGATAAGATTTGGATTCCAGTCAAGGTCGGCAATTCGGCATATGATAACTTCTACGGAATAAACTTGGAAACAAAATATTACAAAAATCGACCATTGAAAAAAATTAAAGTAAACTTACTTTGTAGGGTCTCAACCTATTATTGTTGTATGTATTTGGTCAAATTTGTATACGTTTTGCTATTAAAGTCACCGAGTAGTTCAAAAGCTACCATTTTGATCGTCATTGTTTATATTTTGTATGATTTATTGTTAAACTATGTCTTAGTCATCATCTTCGGCCAACATCAGCTACTCCCAACACCAATATCCACCCCCAACAACACCATCTATCTCTAGCAATAAACATCTTCTATCAACATCATTCGCCACCATAACCACTCATCTCCACCACTCATCACTACCACTAAGAAAATAATCTAAAATTCTTAAACATAGGTGTTTATCGGTGCCCCGATTCGAGAAGGATGGGGAGAGGAGCAGGGAAAGCTGTGAACAAGACGAGAGATGTCGACAATAGTAAAGGGAGGAGTGGGAGTGGTGTTTTTACCGGAGAAGAGGATAAGAAAATTGTGCGTTTTGTAGTATTTTTGAGAAATAAACATGTCAAATGATGTTATCTTCTTCATTGGACTTGTTTTAGCTGGGGAAGATAAGTGTAAAATTGATGATGATTGGAAAAGATGAAAATGATTTAATTTGTAAGAAAGTTAGTTTAATGGTAAATTGAGTAACAAAAATGTGAGTTCAGTGATGTTTCTTGAACATGTAGACTTACTAGACTTGCAATAACTGGTCAAAATAATATTTTTGAACAACAAACGTGAGTTTAATAGTAAATCGTTTATAAAATAAAATAAAACAAGAAAGTGACTAAATTGGAACGAAGCCGATTTTAATGCAAATGTCGTTGCATCAATGGACCTTTTATGGACCGGAATCCTGGGCTATTTCGGTTCTCGTTAGCACTCCAAGACACAAATTCTAACTGGGATTTTGATTGCATCAACAAGGGATTTAGATTGCATCAACAAGTTAAGTGAACTTGTCAAGTAAGTCAAATCGTTTGAATATTTTTACAAGTTTCATGTTATATATGTTACATTTTCTATTACGGTACAAAACACTCCCAATTTTGATAATATTACTAGATAGGTCTAATTTCGATTCCCTCAACAAGAAGCCCTCCTTTTAAATGGACACCTTCAATCTCTTTTAATCTCATTATAACATCTTTTTCGTGTATTCCATCGTTGTAAAATTCTCCCAATTCTATCTCCAACCATCCGTCATTTCGTTCATGATAAACCCTAGATATATTTTCTCCAATTTTTGAGCTCGATCCTTGTTTCGGAGACAAGATTATCGTCCCTTGCGAAAGGAATTTGCCAACTTCCAATGAAACCTCGGATGGTAAAATGTCTAATCCATATGCACGATGAGATGCCATATTGACAATGAGGTAGGCTCGATATTGGGTATTTGGTGATAAGAGTTTGGTGTTTATTTTTCCTTCAATTTCAAGCCAACTTGTCATTCTAAGCTCCACGGCTTCCGCAAATCTATTAATTTTTTTAATATTTAATCCATAAATATAAATTGTCATCGTACTATTAAATATATGTAATCACAGAAAACTATATTCAAAGTTGGTGTCTTATGACTACATATTATCACTAAATAGCCACCAATTTCTCATAAAAGGGTTCTAGTGACTTTTTTTTACAATAAAGCAATTTCTCAGAAAGGTGTTGGAGATCGATATGATTTATTTTGTATTAAATGTCTAGAAACGATCATTTTTTGTGATTTTAGTGATTATCATGTATATTGTACATCACCTCGATTGTAGAATGGGTTTCCAACACCAAAAGAGAGGATTGTCTGACCAAGCGATGTTGAGTTCCCTTGCACTTAACATGTAACATCTTTTACCTGTCGCTTTGTCTACTGAGAATGTCTACAATCCAAAACCAGGAGTGTTAGATCAACGATCAATGGATAAAGAGAAATATTTGTGGCAAATAAAAATTTTAAATTGTTAAGCAATGCAATAAAAGATAAGCAAGAATACACGACACCATAATCTATCTGATTCAGCTAAAGAGATTTGAATTACGTCCAAGAACAGGAACCAGAGATATCTTATATTATTCAACTGTTAACCAAAAATCTTCCTAATCATTGGGCCGAACCCATATACAAGTAAATCTGAAAGAACTAAACGTCTCCCACTTATCCCGTTGATTTCACAATTCGGGTTTGTCCACTTTATTTTGGGTCGGATCATAAATCCGTTCGGACCTCCAAATTCCAAGTCACACTCTAATATTAATCATTAAATCAATTGCATCCGACCAACAAAAAATATATAGAGAGAACATTTGATAAAACGATTATACGTTAATTACCTTGATGCCACCATCAATCAAAAGGGGACTTGAAAGCTTGAAGAACAGATCCCTCTTGGATTTATACTTCACAGGAGACACACATCTCGATATGATTTCCTGGTAATCAGATGGCAAAAATTCATCCCACAAAACATCCGATTCTGTAGCGTCCCTAACAACCGAAGAGACAACTGCAAACCGACATGCATCCCGAGGGGACCCACGAGAGAGGATGTGTACTATGCAATCATGGGGCATATCCTTCATGTTCTTTCTAAGTGAACAACAACATATATGATATATGAATACATATTTATGTATATCTGCATATGCGTATTTGATATGAGTGCATCCTTACCTTGACAAATGGGTTTTCCTTTATTGTTGTTTTTATAAGATCAATGGTTACGATCCCGCCGGGACAATAAACGTGGGAGTAGTTAAGTTTGGTAAACTAGTTTTATATGATCGATTTAATGAAGAAACCCACGTTTAAAGCAAATGTTATACTAATGGATCTCATTCACATGGGCACCATAGCTCTCCAAAGAAGAATATAAAAGCGAAACATATAAGATTTTGACTGTAGTCAAGGCGGGTGACATCAATTCTGACGTCTCAATTAGGTATTCAATTAAGAAAATCGATACCTAACTACCTATAATAATTCTAAGACAAAACTTCAAAAATGGTCCCTGTGGTTTTCGAAAATTTTAAGTTTAGTCTCTAAGTTTTAAAAACCTCACAGATATTCCATGTGGTTTCAAAACTTTTAACAAATGATCATTTTCGCTAACTCCATTAGCATTTAACCGTTAAGTGAAGGATATTTCTGTCATTTCACAACCACAGCGACCATTTATGAAGTTTTGCCTTATTTAAAAAAAAAGAAAAAAACTATAATTATTTAATATTAAAGGGCCCCATCCTCTCTCTCTTATTCTCTCTCTCTCTCTCTCTCTCTCTCTCTCTCTCTCTCTCTCCCGTTTTTCTTCACCACCGGCCAAGAAGAGGCTGTCGACCATCGGAGTTGCCTCACCTTTCCCAGCCTCCTCCACCCTCCTCCTTCGAATCTGTGATGCCGACAAGAGTAGAAAAAAGGCAAAACACGTAGACCACAGTCTTCCTCCACCGTCGTCCGCCTCCATCTCGACGGTGTAGTAGCCCATCTCACCCCAGCTCTTCCCTTCGTGATTACGACCAACCCCGACCTCCCATACCACCCTTCGAGCTCACCACCGTCGCGTAGCACCCCCCCTTGGTCATTGTTGTCTTCCCTCCTTTCCCACAGTCCCATTGTTTGGTTAAATACCCAGGAAGAAATGAATTCGTTGGAAAAACGGGATTGCTGATCTCGGCAACAGATCTTCCACACCAAACCTTTTCTGCTTCCTGCGTGCTTTTTTCCCTTCTCGAATTGATGAAGACGATGACCCCAGCCCCTATTAGTTGTAACCTGTGAATACAACCTTGTACACCAACGTTTAATTCAGAATTGCACTTCTAGTAATACTGGAACAGAGAAAGAACAACACAGAAACAATGAACAGGGAAGAATGAAATGAGAACAGGGGAAGGAATGGTTTGGGAAAATTGGGGACTCTGAAGCCTGAATCAAGACTTGAAAGTTGAGGCTAATTGCAAAAATGAAAGTAGATATAATTGATAATAGCTTAGTGTTTTTCAAACTTGAAAAAAAAAATAGATTAGAAATTGAAACAAAGTTTCTCATGATGGTCTTCTTTGTTTTACAACCATTAATACATCTGGGTTTATTTGTTTTTTTTTTTTGATCCATTCTTCTTAACACAATCAATAATCTATTAATCATCATTCAAGTGTGAAGATTTTAATTTTGATTTAGCTCGAAAGAAATAGACAGAATACCAAGGATTGCTTGTAAAGTAAAAAAATACTTGGCTTTAATTTTTCGCCTTGCAATCTTCTTCTCTCAAACAAAAGGATTCAAAATTCTGGGAAGTCTAAAGAAGGGTAAATAAGAAAAGCTATTAACAGGTAGACATGAGTCAAGAAAAAATAACCTGTGTTCACCACTTGAATTGTTGCAGGTGAAGAATGGGAAGAAGATGATAGGGTAGGTGGGTTTTTTGATCTTATTCGAGAGAGAGAGAGAAAGAGAGAGAGAGAGAGAGAGAGAGAGAGAGAGTGTGTGTGTGTGTGTGTGTGTGTGTCACACCCCAAAACCGGAACGACGGAAACGTTCTGGGGCGGAGGACGTCATGCGTAGTATCACAACAATTGTATCATAGCAAGCGTAGTAAACACAACCAGACATTGAATACATATATGAAAGAGGTTTACATTGTTTAATACATAGTTTTTGTTCATATCAAAAGTAAAATAGAAATACGCGACTCTAACGCTTCGACTTCTCCGAACTCCTGGAAGTACCTGTCTACTAATTCCCTGAGAATACAAGCAGTTTTGAAAGAATATCAGCATAAAGCTGGTGAGTTCATAAGCATTTAGTTTTGGTGGAAAAGTGTTTCCTGAATCCTTTTTGAAAAGTGTTCCTCAAGAAAATCCTATATTTTCTTATGAAAAGCGTGTTTGAAAACCCATTCCTTCCATGACTTCCAGATTCATACAAGATAAGTACAATCCAAGGAGTCGTGGAAGGAATATGAATATCGATTGATTACATGTTGAACAATCCTGTTTTGAATAGCCGGGTTATCCCGGGAAAATCCTATATTTTCCCTAAAGGTTGATGATTGAGTTTTCGTTCTAAACCGAGGCGTGGAAGTATCTACCATACTCGAAAATCAGTTTTCTTTTAAAAACCCTGGTTACACCCAGAGAGGTATATTAGCCTTATTACATAAATAAAACTAAATAAAGAAAACCGTGGTGAACTAAGTCCTGAAGGTATTATTAATACCCTCCAGTAATCTATCGATTATTACTTTGAGGTTAGTTCATTGGATTCATTATTACAAAAGTAAATCTCTGTTATCTAGGTTGTGAGTTTCATGACCATAACTGACTGGATATGGCCCGCAACGGCCGATATCCTTAATGACTTTGTCACCCGCAGACCTGCCGGTCCAATGGTAGCTAGCAGTGAGGTGCGGGATTGTCAGTCCCGTATAGATCTATACACAACAGCCACACTTTCCCTACAAGAGACTCTGGTCACAAGTGCTAGTCCTACACTCTATTTCTTGTGGTGAGTGTTACCAAGGACGTGTCTCAAACTTAGACTAACAAACTTACAAGTAATAATACTGAAAATCCTTTTATGATAAACATGAATCCTTTATAAAATGATGCATTTTAGTATATGATTCAAAAGTTTATTGCCTTAGTTCTGAAAACTGTTTCTACGTGTTGATTTCTTAATCGGTTGGCAAAAATTGTTTTCCTTGTTAAAAGCATACTGAAAATATAATTATCTTAAACAAAATAACATATTTTGAGCACAAGTTTCCCTATGCTTTTGCTTGTATTCTCCCCCTGAAAACGTTAAAAACACGGAAAAATGTAGCGGTATGAACTCACCTCGGGCAAGTGGTTTGTATGAAGGATCGATACGGAAATGCAGGACGTTCAAGTGAAGCCTTAAACACGATTTGATCCTAATTAACATGCAATGATACATAAGGGAGTCAAATGAAGGTATTTCACCACAAAATGTGATGGATAACCACTCTAGGGACTTGGAACTACTTGCACTAAGTGTTAGGACCTTAAAGGGTTGCATGAGGGGAGTGTCTGGCCACCTTTAAGGTGTGTGCGGCTAGAGTGTGCGGCCAAGTGTGTGTGCGGCCGTACACTCATGATGGAAGGTGTTCTTGGGGTGTTTCAAGGTCCATACTTGCAATCCATGAAGTATCCTAGGTCTATACTCAATTGTAGTGCAAGTTAGGGGTCCTAGAAGTGTGTTTGTGGCCCTAGGATGGGTGTGTGGTCGCACACTAGGGTGTGTGCGGCCGTACACTGGTGTGTGCGGTCGTACACCCCACACGATGATGTCCAAAATGCCATTTTCAAGGTGCAAGAAGGCCAGGGGCATGTCTATCTCGAATATGGGAGTCACACTGTCACTTTGGAGGGTGTTTTTTTAAGAGTGTACGGCCACCCTTATGAAGGTGTGCGGCCGTACTCCTTCATATGATGAATAACATGGTGAAACTTTGATGAATCAAGGCTTAGATGAAGTGATCCTTCTAGTACAACAAGCTAAGGGATAGATTACTCACGTTTTTGCAGCCTTGGAGGGTTCGTGGTTGAAGAAGCTTGAGAGAAATGGTGTTGTGTGCTGCCAAGGTGTTAAAGGAATGAAAGGAAAGGGGCCTACCCTTTATATAGGGTGGGTGTGCTGTCTAGGAGGGAGTGTGCTGCCAGGAGGTGTGTGTGCGGCCGCACATCCATGTGTACGGTCGTACTCCCTCTAAAGGTGTGTATGGCCTTGTTTTGACAGTATACGACTTGTTGACTCATTCCTAACCTCAACCTTGGTTGTACTCAAGCTTAGAATCACTTAAACGAACCCTCAAACAGTGCAAGAAGTCAATAAAACCAGTTTCACTTAGGTTGGATTGATTAAGTGTGCGAGATAAAAGTTCCGGGTTGTCACATCATCCCCCCGTTAGAGAGAATTTTGTCCCGAAATTCAAGAATAAGAATATAACTCGTGGTCTTGGAAAAGATGGAGTTACTTAAGGTTCATGGGACTCTTGTCTAACTCGAGGTTGTCGAGGGGAAATCGCAAGTGCCTCGTCGGACAGACACTTCCTTTGGGTTCGATAGGTGGAAGACAGGATGGGCGTTGCTGAGTTTTCGGGGTAACTGGAGTTTGTATTCTTACGGACCAATCCTAGCAAGGGTCTCGGACGGTCCAACGTATCTTGATTTTAGCTTTCAAAGCTTTCCGAAGCGTATTAGGCCTTCCAAGGGTGAGACCTGCAAAAGGGCACGTCCACCAATCTGGAACTTCAAGGGTTTTTGTCTCCCATCGGCGTAGCCCTTTCGTACGATCTTTTCTGCCGTCTCTTGGATGATTCCAGGACTCGTGAGAGTGCTGTCGGGGACTTGACTCTTATCTAGTTGCGTGTCGCCCGCCTCAGCCCAACGCATATGGGGTCTGTACTTATGGCTGTAGAGGGCTTTGAACGGCCCAGCCTTGCTACTGGAAAGGTCGCCGTTGTTGCAAGAAAGTTCAATTAAGAGTAGATGTGTGTCCCACGACGCATCTTCAATTGTCCGGATGGTTCCCTTACTTTGTCCTTCTCTTTGTGGATGATACTCTTCGTATGAATACTTTCGGGTTTCAAAGAGACATAAATATTTCGAAGTTCGCATCTAGTTTGTCGTCGCGAGCGACGGGAGTTTCACGATCGAACGATTTAAGACAAAAGGGTTTGGTATAGCATAGACTCAGTCGAACTAGACAGGATGGTGTCGTAGAATCGCGCGTTAAGTCAGTCCCGGAGGATCGTTTTGTTAGCACATTGGTATCCCTAGATGAACGTCTCTGGTGTTTTCTGCGTTTGATTTGGACTTGGGGGTACTACTAATGCGAGGGTCCAGATGTTTTGAAACTATGGACTCTCGATGGAATGGTTCTCACTAGATTTTCCTATGATTTCTTGGCGTATACAAGTCATGTATAATCACAACTGACTCTAATATATACACTAGGCTACCATAATTTACTCATTAGGGCATCAACTTTTAAAAGTAAGTCGTGATTAAATTTGGACGGGAAAGAAATCACGATTATGAATATTTATTGAGGTTTTCGGAAACGTACCAAAACACAATAGGTTTCTTTGATGCTTCCTCATTCCCTGAGGTTAGACTCCTCCTGTCTCCTCATTGTTCTTCTCTGTTGGGCAGTCTCTTTTGAGATGTCCCATTTCGCCACATACGCAGCACACTCGGACTATGCTAGCATCAGTAGTGTAAGTGATGTGTTGGGTCGGGGTCTTTGCGAAGAGGGCTTCCTTGCCATACCTATCCCTTGGACAATTTCTTTCGAAATGTCCGGGTTCGCCACAATTGTAGCAAACCTGACCCATCTTCACACCGAAAATCGAGGTGTTTGGCTGTGCAGGTGCCCTGCAGTAACGGGTGGTATGTCCTTGTCTGTTGCAGTTCTTACATTGAAGTGTTCGGCATTTTCCTATGTGGTGGAAGTTGCATTTCTCGCAGCTTGGAAGTTTTCCAGCATATTGCCGCACTGGCGTTGGCACTGGTTTGGCGGATGTGGTGGTTGTAGGAGTTATCACGGGTTGTCGTCTCTTAGCTCGTTTTTTAGGCGACTTGCGCTTC